GCTCGGTACATATATCTTCAATTTAAGAATTATTATTTTTTTTATAAAAATTAACTAGGCCTTGAAGTATGAAAAACTGATTTCAATTTAAATATTACGTAAAGTTCATAAGATCGATTTTATTATTAAATTGATTAAATTGCAACAATTAAATATAATTATATTATAGCACTTTATGTAAATGGATTTTTTTTTCACAATTGTTACTTTTTGTCAAAACACTTGTGTAAATCGTAAAAGTTCAAATGTAGCAATTCAAGAAGTAGTTTTAACCAGGTCAGCGAACTCTCATTAAAGACATGCGATACAATCCATGAGGAGATCTCACACATTTAGAAAACACGTACCTACAATGGGAGAGAAAGGTACTACAAAGTATACATATGTATGTATAGGGATTTCAAAGTTTATTATTTTTACAAGTGCTTATTACCCTTCTTCTAAAAATTGGTTTTTCCCACTACACGAATCAACCAATGACTTACGGAGAGGCGCAGTGATGGGGAAATTTTTACAAAAGAACTTTTGTGTAACAATTAAGGAAGGGGAAAATGTGCAATTTTCCTAAGGCAATTGAGAAAATTTAACGATTGTTGTGTTTCAAAACTAAGAATGAGATTATTGCTTTGCTAACCTACTATCGACAGACACCTATAAAAAAAATANTCGAGATAATTCGAAACATAAAAAACATGTAAAAAAGTGTGGAGAATCCTGTGGTGATAACGATTTTTAAGTCCGGATTCAATTAAAAGGATAAGGACTCTGATATTTAAAAAAACGTGTAAACTACATGCAAAAAGCGCTCCTGAATTTTCGACTTGTTTAAAATTTATTCGAGATAATTCGAAACATAAAAAACATGTAAAAAAGTGTGGAGAATCCTGTGGTGATAACGATTTTTAAGTCCGGATTCAATTAAAAGGATAAGGACTCTGATATTTAAAAAAACGTGTAAACTACATGCAAAAAGCGCTCCTGAATTTTCGACTTGTTTAAAATTTATTCGAGATAATTCGAAACATAAAAAACATGTAAAAAAGTGTGGAGAATCCTGTGGTGATAACGATTTTTAAGTCCGGATTCAATTAAAAGGATAAGGACTCTGATATTTAAAAAAACGTGTAAACTACATGCAAAAAGCGCTCCTGAATTTTCGACTTGTTTAAAATTTATTCGAGATAATTCGAAACATAAAAAACATGTAAAAAAGTGTGGAGAATCCTGTGGTGATAACGATTTTTAAGTCCGGATTCAATTAAAAGGATAAGGACTCTGATATTTAAAAAAACGTGTAAACTACATGCAAAAAGCGCTCCTGAATTTTCGACTTGTTTAAAATTTATTCGAGATAATTCGAAACATAAAAAACATGTAAAAAAGTGTGGAGAATCCTGTGGTGATAACGATTTTTAAGTCCGGATTCAATTAAAAGGATAAGGACTCTGATATTTAAAAAAACGTGTAAACTACATGCAAAAAGCGCTCCTGAATTTTCGACTTGTTTAAAATTTATTCGAGATAATTCGAAACATAAAAAACATGTAAAAAAGTGTGGAGAATCCTGTGGTGATAACGATTTTTAAGTCCGGATTCAATTAAAAGGATAAGGACTCTGATATTTAAAAAAACGTGTAAACTACATGCAAAAAGCGCTCCTGAATTTTCGACTTGTTTAAAATTTATTCGAGATAATTCGAAACATAAAAAACATGTAAAAAAGTGTGGAGAATCCTGTGGTGATAACGATTTTTAAGTCCGGATTCAATTAAAAGGATAAGGACTCTGATATTTAAAAAAACGTGTAAACTACATGCAAAAAGCGCTCCTGAATTTTCGACTTGTTTAAAATTTATTCGAGATAATTCGAAACATAAAAAACATGTAAAAAAGTGTGGAGAATCCTGTGGTGATAACGATTTTTAAGTCCGGATTCAATTAAAAGGATAAGGACTCTGATGTTTAAAAAAACGTGTAAACTACATGCAAAAAGCGCTCCTGAATTTTCGACTTGTTTAAAATTTATTCGAGATAATTCAAAACATAAACAACATGCAAAAATGTGTGGAGAATCCTGTGGTGATAACGATTTTTGAATTCCGGTTAATTTAAAAGGATAAGGACTCTTATATTTAAAAAAAATATTTAAAATACCGAAAGTATACAATAGCTTTCCAAATATTCATTAGCAAGGTCGTAATGACCCACCCTGTATGATTAGAAAGATATACTTTTATTGTATTTAAATAGTATTTTTCACCTTGACTTACGTTTGAATAAATTTACTAAGACCAGCAAGAAATATTTGGCAAGTGGATTTTGTCAATGAAACAAATTTGCTTAATTAAATAGTATCCATTCAAATTTATTGGACACGTGTGACTTATACAATGGCAATAACGTGATTTTAATTTAAATTGTTTTTAACGTCTCATAAAGTTAAAAAATGGTGGTTATAGTTATGTATACTTTACAAAAGATCAGGTTACCTACAAATGTTTCTAACGTCAATTGTTATATTTGTTACTCTGTATATGGTAAAAAGTTTTAAAACAAGCTCTTTTTTTATTTATTTTCTGTATAAACTTTTGGGCGGTTGCGCTCGTTGACTGTACTTGAATGTTTGAACGCTCGGTACATATATCTTACCCTAATTCAAGAGAAAATTATTAGAGAAACCCAAAGGTAATAACGAATGGTACCTGTTGTGGCTATTTTGAAACAAGTGCCATTTACCGCGTAAACAATTGCGTGCAGAGTAACTTTCTCGCAACAAAAGTTCAGTAACACACATACGCAGTGAAAGCCTTTCTACTTTCAGAAAAGTTGCGAATGCAAACATAAACCGGTTCTGTAATATACATAAGTAGATAAATTACATTAAAGAAATGGCACATCGCAAGCCTTCTTCGAACTCTTAAGAAAGGCACTTCATCAGTTTATGCAAAATGTTCCTCACACTCGGTCAATATTTCGAGCTGTTTGTGATCTTGGTAGCCTTGGTACTAACCGCGGTCTTTTTGAAAAATATCGGAAGGATTGTTCAAATTGCGGGCATTGTTACAATAACGGTGGCAAACTTGATTATTAACATCATTTTCGGATTGGTTGCCGGACGTAGACGTCATAGGCGCCATAAGAAACGATTGAACGATTTTAACAATAATGCCCCTAACGGAAGTACCATCGAGGATATCCCAGAAGAGCAAGAAGTCAAAAACCAAGAAACTGATGGTAATGTACATTTCAAGTAAAAAAATTCATCCATTATTTCGACAGTTGTGAAAAAAAAATGTTAAAAATCCACCCTGTATATTAGTCCTAAAATTCATTGTTCCGTAAAAACTTTTTTTTTCAATTTGTAGCAACGTTAGTCAAGCATATTTACAAAGAAAAAGTTCAAAAGTTCTAAAGATGAATATGAATTTTAAAATATATTTACATGATTATACCATGTCCTTGTTTTGGTACCTTTTTTAAACCACAAACATTGAAATTTCGATTGTGCTAACAACAAATAAGTAGGTATTCTACCTACGGGTTATGAGTTTATTTAAATTATCATTATTTAAATACCAATAGTACATATGTAACTCACAATTACATACGAATAAGTTCATAAATTATGCATTATTATCCTTATTAGACGTACTGGTAAAAAAATACAGCGCATTTTGGCCATTTCGACATAAAAAAACTAGCAAAAGAGCGTTTAATTTTTTATTTAGTGGCAGGAGGGTGAGCAAAATTGGATTAGTTGAATTAGGAAATTTAGCCCCAAAAATTTAAGATGTTCGCTAATTAACCCCCCCCCCTCTCTCTAACGACCCCCAAGCATTGCTTTTGGATCCACTCCTTTTTTATTATTTATGTACATCAGACCTGTTATTTGCTAGTAATTTTTTCTAGTTTGTACTTCAGTGTCTTTATTTATTGCCTTTTTTGAAATTGTTTATATCTTCTTAATTAATGCCTTGAGCAGTTTTTGATTAAAATTGCTTCACTATCCTCTGGCATTTAATATCTAATAAATAATCCATCTTCTATTTTCTATAATAACGTATGGTGCAAACGTATACTTAAGTAACAATTATTACAGGCAATACGATATAATTAAAAATAAATAAAGACCATGTAGGTACATACATTTATAGTCCTGGTTTCATAACTATTTTAACTAAGCGGCAATGCCGTGTCGAAAGAAATTGCAACTACATCATAAGTAGGTTGAAGCAGTTGTTATAAAACGAAAAAAAAATCGCTTTCACTCCCTTTCATTTTTTAATAGAATAGATGCAAATGTGTAAAAAAGAATAATATGTGGTACATTTTTTATAGCCCACAAAGAAAGATAGTTAATTAGCCACAAGAAAGGCTTATGTAATTGATTTAATTAATTAATGGGTGTTTAGCAATTAACACTTTTAATTATACATAATAATTTAAATTTACTTACGTAAAAATCGACTTTAACATTGCCATTTATACTTACAAACTTAAGCTAAGAACTTAAAAGCGGAAATCATCCCCTTTTTTTCCACCCTTACAGTTTTCTTTAAGTTTAAAAGTAGAAAGCAGAATTTATTAAATCGAAAATTATTTACTAATTATTATTAAATATTTATAGTTCATTTTTTTTCAGAAATGTCCACATTAGAATGGCTATCATCGTATATAATAAATGTAATTACTACGGCCTGGGAATGTATGGTTTTGCTAGTCCTGAGTGCGTACTATGTGACAGAGACGTTAATCTTAAGCGTGACCCCCACGGCCTTTAGGTCACAAAAAAGTCTAAAACATAAAGTGGTCGTTATAACAGGTGGAGCAGGGGGAGTAGGACAAGAATTAGCCGTAAGACTTGCCACAATTAAAGCCAAAGTTGTTATTTGGGACGTCAACGAAAAAGGTAAAGAGAAAACATATTTATTGTCTCCGGTTAGTTTAAAAAATTAAGGTAATAAAAATTCTTTTTTTTTTGGTTTAATTACCAAAAATTAAAAAAACGTCTAAATAATATTTCATATAACAGGAACAGGATATCATACAAAAAAAATCTATTATTATATTTATCTTTTTATACTTAATGCAACTTTTCTTACTATATCATTTCGTAGCAATTGAAAATGCTCAAGAACGTTTCAAAAAAGAAAATCTCCAGATATATTCGTACGTGGTGGACGTAACTAACAAAAAAAGCGTTGAAAAAACGGCAGACGTTGTAAAATACGAAGTGGGTCCAGTTGATGTGTTAATTAACAATGCGGGAATCGTTTCCGGCAACACTTTTATGGACTTACCCGACGATATGATCGAAAAAACTTTTAAAGTTAATGTTATATCGCACTATTGGGTAAGTGAGATAGGCAACACATTTAACATCTAGTATACGAGAACATACTATGTGCTTACTATATTCGTTTTTTCTTATTTAAATTTTCTTTTAGACCATAAAGGCCTTCTTAAAAGACATGATACACAGGGGCAAAGGTCATATTGTCACTGTGGGCAGTCTGACCGGCCTTTTGGGAACTTACAAATGTTGTGATTACAGCGCTACAAAGTTTGCCACTGTAGGGCTTCATGAAAGTTTGTTAACTGAATTAAAAGTAAGTTATAATATTTTAGATCGTAACATTAAAAATTGTCAAACATATTGAATTATTTTAGACACACGGTCATGACAACATTCACATGACCCTGGTGTGCCCTTACTTCATTAACACGGGGATGTTTGACGGCTGTAAGCCCAAAAATATGGCTATGCTACAGCCGAAAGACGTCGCCAAAAGAATAGTCACCGCAATAAGGCTGGAGGAAGTTTTTGTGACAATTCCATCGTTTGCACGATTTGCACTTCCACTTAAACAGTAAGCTTTAAATTCGTTAAATATTTAACAAGACGTAATGTTGCTCGTTTTTTTTTTCTGTAGTTACATCCCTGCAAAACTGGCGTGGGCCATGATGTTTCGACTGATACAAGGACCGCAAGCCATGATGGGTATGAAGAGTCATCAAGAAGAATTTACACATGAGATTGTTCAGAAAGAAAGCAATGGAGGTACTGATTATTTACAATTTTAGATATTAATAAATATTTTAATACATTAATTAATATCTAAAATTGTATTGTAATACGTATTTTTTTAATTACATTTTAAGTCTGCAGTACTTTTAAAGTAGAATATTTTTATATTAATATTAAAACGCTTTTTTTTTTCTTTAATTCTTTTTTTTTGTTTCTCACCTGAAT